TTCTTCCTGGGGGTTTTCACGTCTTTTTTTCAATATGAAAAAAACGTAAAAATGTTGGGGGGCCCCCCCCCCCCAAAAAAAAAAAAATGGCGCATGGGTATTAAAACCTTGAAGCCTTGAGACTTGCCGTTGAGCCACTGGTGGGGGGGGGGGCAGTTTTGAAGTGGTGGACTAGAGGGATTATTTGCAGAAAGTTAAAAGATCTCTAAGATGCACCCAAAAAAACTTTTTGACACAAAATGCTAATAAGTCAATAAATAGCAGGAACATTTAAGCCTTACACAAAATAAAATACTGTAATTTTTCATACTTATCTGGGTTAATTTGTACGTAAAGAATAAGACCCCCCCCCCCCCCAGTGGCACAGCGGAATGTCTGCAGACTTACAACGCTAGAAACCGGGTTTCGATACCCGTGGTGGGCAGAGCACAGATAGCCCATTGTGTAGCTTTGTGCATAATTACAAACACAAAAAGAATAATAATTAAATATTACTTGTCGAGAACCTGTGTATGTGCGTCCTAATTCTAGATCCGTTGTCGTACGTTTACGGTAAACTAAAGAATAATTCATCAGACGGCTTTTATTGCTTTAGAAAGTTTGTGTATTATTGTACCGTTTGGAAAATCAATCGATAAATAGTACTCCCCCCTCCCCCACAGTTGTTCAGCAGCGGGAAGCCTGAAGGCTTATAACAGCACAGAGAGCCCGTTGTGGAGTTTGTGTTTAACACCAAACAAAACAAAAAGATAGAAACGCATATGGGCGCCTTCAGGAAGGGGCAACAAGACTCATTTGACTTTCCTTACATTTCATAAAAGAATTGCACGTATTGTGATGTAAATTTAACATCGTAGTTAGACTAAATGTTTTTAGAAGTATTTTATTAATACTATAAATTTGTGTTAGCGTTTAAGCACACACATAACACACATTATTTTAGTCTGTTGACTTGCACTGTAAAAGCTGATTCCTCCCCACTCCGGCACCCATGGAAACTAACTAAGCCTCTTTTTTTTTTTGTTCTTCTGGCACATTTTACAGCTAGATACAGAACGAAGAAGTTAATATTTCAGTAGTTTCTCGATAATATTGATCATGAGGTTGGGTTTGTTTTGTTTTTTTGTATTTTATTCAGACAGAAAAATATAATAACTTTATTTAAAACCTTCAGTTTTAGACCACTGACACCGTTA